TGCTGCCCGGCTGTGGGCCAGCTGCAGGGCCACGCCCCAGCGCACACCAGGCTCCATCGCGGCTGCCCAACCTCAGGGCAAGGGGTTGCCATGTGGTCCTTCTGGAAGTGGGGCTGGCGCAGGGCCGAGGGGCTGGAGGTCTGTGCAGAGGTGGGCCACCTTCATGGTAGGGACTGAGCTCTGCGGGGCCCAGGGCAGTGGCACTCAGATGCCACTGTGCAGGTGACATGCCACAGGACTAACAGTGAGCACTAGCCTGGCGTCCAGCACGTGGCCTCGTGTCTAGTGATTCATTTTTATTGTGTTTTCAAAGCATCATCCTCAGCAGATTAGAATAAAAGTAAAAACAAGAGCCAAAGCTGGTCCTTCCCCAGCTCGTGGGAGAGCCCTGCCTGAGGGACACCCCACAGCTCCCCTCTGACACTGGCAACCCAGGCTCCCCTCTCCCCCGGACCTTGCATGTGTCAGCTCATGGCCGGTCCACTGGCCATCAAGGCTGGAGTGTGTGGTGGCAACCAACTGTTACTGTGATATAACCAAGGCAGGACCCAAAGGAAATAATTGTTAAGCCCGTCCTGCCCACTGATGGCTCCTGACTTATCCGACCTGTCCCTCCTCTCATCTCACGGAGCACCTGGCCCAGGTGGAGAGAGTGAGCCTCCCCCAGCCCGTCCACGCTGCTAGAGCCTGCTGTCGGGCTCTCGGCCTCAGAGAGCCCCTACACACCCTCAAATGACCCGACACCTCTCAGGCTTCCTGTGGGCCTTTCTCACAGCTCACATGAAGAACATGGCTGATGGTTCAAAACCTAACAAAAACACACATGCTCTGCAAAAAGCAGGACATGAGTCAGGTCCTTAGGCAATGTCTCCCAGATGCCCCCTAATAAAAATCACAGGTTTATCACAAAGGATTGTGCAGCAGAGAAATGACCCGGGTCTTCGAGGGAGGGGCCTGCGTGGGGCCTGTGGGTGGGCGTGGGGTGGGGGCTGCAGCCTGCAGATCCTCAGGGCCCCAGGGTCCCAGGCTGGCTCCTCCCCCTCCTTATTATTGTCATGAGTTCATATCTTCTCTTGGAAATGTTTAAGAAATAAGGCTGGCCTTAGCCGGTTTGGCTCAATGGATAGAGCATCGGCCTGCAGACCAAAGGGTCCCGGGTTCGATTCTGGTCAAGGGCATGTTACTCGGTTGCAGGGTCCTCCCCAGCCTGGGCCCCGGTCGGAGTGCGTGCAGGAGGCAACCAACCGATGTGTCTCTCTCACATCGATATTTCTCTCTGTCTTTCCCTCTCTCTTCCACTCTCTCTAAAAAATCAATGGAAAAATATCTTCGGGTGAGGGTTTAAAAAAAAAGAAAAAAAGAAATACGGCTGGATTTTTAAATTTGAAAGTATGAACCGAATTATTTCCTCTGGATCCTGCCTTGGTTATATCACAGTAACAATTTTTAGAAATAAAAAAAATCATTTTCTTTTCACTTCCAAAGGAAGAGATTCATTCCTCGCAGGTGGCTTTTAAAACACATGTTTTCTGTGCACCTACCACATCCTCTCACTGACCTTGGGCAGCTTGGCCATCTTCTTCCTCTGTTTCCGAAATCTCAAAAGCTTGTCACGCTCCTGCAGAAACCAGTGGAAGAGATGCTTTTGAGTAATTGCACAGCTCTATCAGTTTCAAATACACGGTCAAGGTTCCGTGCTAGCATGGGTGGCTGTAGACAGGCTGGCGTACTAGCCACACTGACATAAACACGCTGAGCCCACGGCCTGCCCAGGAGTCTGCAGGTGTGGACGGCTCGTCCCCACTCCTCGGGCTGGAGAAGGGCCTGGCCTGTTTAGGTGGCTCGGCTCACCACATTCATCGGCCCCCCAGCTTCTTTTACGGCGGTGCTTGGCTGGGGGGCCCACGTGGGGGCAGGGGATTTGAGTGGTAGAAACAGAAATGGGACCCGGGGGGGACGGATGAGCCAGCCCCTGCGTCCTCTGAGCAGATGCCTGCACGTGGGGAGCCCACAGATGCAAGCATGGACCCCATGAATGTGTAAGGAGGCCAGTGGCCTGCTTCTCTCTGGGGAGCGAGGCTGCATTTTTGTGACCATGACCGAACCAACCAGCCCAGCCCGTGGGTGCATGCCGGCAGGGCTGGGGACCCCACGGTGGGGGGAAGGGCCCCAGAGAGGAGAGCCCTCCGACCTCTGGTTGAATAAGTGACTCAGTACTGAGCAGAGCTGGGCACTGCCACCCGCCAAAGGGGCACATGCGGCCCCCTGGCAGGTGGGCGTTCTCGGTCACCACGGCAATGCCTCGGGGCAGGTAGCACTGTGGCCACAAAATCCACCTGGGAGCTGGCACGGCCACTTGTCTGGCCTGGAAGGAGCCATGGGCACAGGCGGGGTCCCAGGAACAGGGCACAGAAAGAGCGAGGACAGGCAGTGCCGAGTGTACTTACTAGCACGCTCTTCACGTAGCCGGCTGTTTCCAGGGTCTGGAAGAGAGGACATTTGCCTGGAGACTCAGAGAGCAGACCCCGAGTCCTGCACCCTCCCAACCTCTGCCGCTTCCTGACCGCAGCATGGCCCCCACCCTGCCCAGGGAGGGACGGCCTCACTCGGCCCTGATGGCCCTTCCTCCCGCCCTCAGCTGATCCCCAGCCCCGTGACCCGCGGAAGCACACAGGGCCCTCAGTGCAGGGCGAACTGGCCTTTTGAAACTTGTGTTGATTTTTTCCCTTCCTGTTCCCCATAAGTTCTTATAACTTTGATTTGGGGTCCTGGCCTCCAGAACTGGGAGGAATACGTGGCTGTTGTTTTGAGCCCCGGGTTGTGGTCATCATGGCCCTGGCACTGGTGTTGTGGCTCCTGAAACCCCTGGTCCCGAGGGGGCCATGGCCAGCGTGACCGGTGCAGGGACCCAGCCGAGAGGAACCCAGGGAGGGGCCAGGAGGACAAACAATCCCCGCCTCCTGTGGGCTCCTCTGGGCAGACCCCCAGGGCAAGGGGCTCCGGGTAGAACCTCCAGGGGGCAGCAGAGAAGGGAGAGAAAGGAGCTGGACGGCACCTTGGACAGCTCGTCTATGAGGTTCTGCTGCTCCACAATTTGGAGTTTCAAGAAGTCGATTTCTCTCTCATCTTGACTCTGATCCAGGTCGTTTAAGGAACTGGGTCTCCTTATGATCCCGGCTCTTTGTCTCTGAAAAGCCAACCAGACCATGTCACTCATAGGGTGGAGCAGGGCAGTCCGACTAGGCGATGGGAAGTCAGGGTCCTCCTGCTCTCTGCTCAGGCCATGGAGCAGCCCGCTGTAGAGCCCGGGAAATCGAGGCTGCATCTCATCACCTGGAACGGGGGAGGGCTGTGCGGCCTGGCTCGGGGCCCATGGGGAAACGTGAGTTGTCCGTGCCAGTTCACACCCCCCGGCCATCCCCAAAGTCAGAGTGTAAAAAGAGGGGGCTCTGCACAGGGGTGTGTGGAGGGCACTCCTCCCACCTCCCCCCTTTCTCACATCCCTGGTTAAACTCTCACTCAGGGCCTCTGGGGCCCTCAGGGGCAGAAGAAACCCACACGACACCAGCTAATCACCCCACCTGCTTAGTGGTGGCGGCAGGAGTGAGCACCCCTGGGCCCCTGGGCCCTTGGTGGGTGCCCTTGCCAGGTTGGTTTGTTCCTTTCTCTCACAGCCAGTCCTGGGCTCCCACCACCTCTGCTCCAGGTACTGAGTTGGAAGGTGGCCTGGGGGTGGGGGGTGTGACTGCTCAGAATCTTACTCCCTGTCACCCCCCAGGCAGGCGACACCCAGACCCTCACCTAAGGCCCTGGTAGCTCCTATCCCCACAGGAGACCAGAGGCTGGAGCCAGAGCCGGAGGGCCACCGGGATCCTGTCAAACCTTGTGGGGGGAAGCGGAAGAGGTTGTCATGGTTACCCTCCTGCTGGCTGACGGACAGGCCAGGGCCCCTTACCATTTCTATGTTCTCCTGAGTGACAAATTTTAACTTGTTTTCCATCCGACGCAGCGTGTGAGACAGGCTCTCGTTTTTCCGAGTGAGGCGCTTGTTTTTATCCAGCAGCGGCTTATACTGGCTTTCAGCTTCTCTTAAACGCTTTAGCTGAAAGACAAAATTAGTGACAAGCACGATGGTTTTAGGCGTGACGGAGAACCAGCAGGTCACCCTCTGGAACCTGCAGGCTGAGCAGAACAACTTGGCGACAGCTGAGGGTT